TTAATTGGTTATGCTCATTAGTTAAATACTAAGTTAAATTACAAAAAAATTAATAAGGGCAGAAAACTACTCTTTTTCTTTTCCTTGTAGAAAACGGAGAATGTTTTAAATAATTGATAGTGTTGGCGTTTACTTGAATATAAACTTAAATTCAAGCACTTGAATTTATGATTTACACTTTATTAACTACATAGCATGACGCGTTTCGTCGTTACAAACGACTTCCTCAGATGCTTACAGAATAATGTAAGATGCTTACAGAATTATTCTGTAAGCATCTGAAGAAGTCGTTTGTAACGACGAAACGCGTCATGCTATGAAGTTAATAAAGTGTAAATCATAAATTCAAGTGTTTGAATTTAAGGAAAATGTTTTTAAATAATTTGATTCGACTTTATCAACACTTGGTGAAATTTTACCAAGTATTTTCAATTATTCCACATGTTTTTATGCAATAAGTTAACTCAATTTTACCGAAGGTGAGAATCGACCTATTCATCATATTTATGTCGAGGGAAATAGATATTACGATGAGAATAGTTTTGCAGTAATGTCATTTCATCTCCAGAGTTGGTAATTCTCGATCTATTGTGAATATTTTCGCAAGGAACCACGTTACGGAAAAATTATGTTAATACAGAAATCAAATGTTTATATTGTGTCCATGTTTTTATGTGCTTACGTGATTTTGGGAGTGATCCACCAAACTTTTTCACTTTATTAGCAATTCTATCGATATTGGAATTTCTCAATTCTCTTCCGACACTAGCATTAAATATTTGCTCACTTAATATGTAATGAAAACTATTCCAAAAATTAATAAGTAACAGTAATATGTTTCACCAAATATGGTTCCGTTTTGTTCTGTTTCACACGAAAAGGTGATCTTAATCTGATTGGACATTTAGAAGTAGTTAGTTATTCAGTTTCCACAGCACATAGACGTAGATGAAAATACCATTAGAAATGAAGTGGTTAGCATTAACTTCATATATTATATAAACTGCTCGCAAATTCTTATATTGGTGTTAATTCAATTTCCATTGTATTCGAAACATATAATTTCTATTCGAAAGTGCAAGTAACTCTCGGGGTTCATGCCTTACGTAATTTTTTCCTTGTTTATTTTTATCCTCGAAACTACGCAACTTGGCTTAATTTCAATGTTTAACTCATTAGGAAGTACTGAAAAATAGATTGTGAGATCAACAGGTGATTAACAATTTGACCGTGAATTTATACGAAATTGTGATAGTTATCAGAAAGTTACCATCAACTTCGAACTACATATAATTGCACTTTTACTACAGCTATTCGAAAAGGTGTTCGAAATGTAGTTTTCAAAATGATGATTTACTTTTAAATTGTTTTAGAGAATGTTTATTATCTTGGTACAAGGAAATATAAATGTTTTTCGCGAAAAATATTTGTGGGATCTAAAATGACAGATACTTCAAAATTATGATTGGCGTGTGTGTGTGATGAAGATGTTGTAATTATCTATAATTTGTGGTAAATCTTTAGCAGATTTGTTTTCTCATTATCAATGGAATACGCACACTTTTTTTTTTTGAATAATGCAATTAATCATCACAATATTTTCTTTCAATTTTTATGATCCTGATATCCCCTCATAATTTTCACGTTCCCTGGGAAATTGTTAAAGTCATTCTATATTCTATTTTGCCTTCATTCTGAGCTGTATAAAAAAGAGAACTACAGAAATCAGTGCTGATCTCTTCTGTGAGGATTGTTAAAAATTTGCTTGGAAATAATGCGAATACCGTCATAAAGACCAACACCACGGGTCTACAACCCTTCCCCTTATTTTGGAAGGGTTCCACAGAGGTGTATTTATCTCCTATTTGAGAATCTTTTATCTTATCTGGGATAAAAGTATGTAAAAGTCTTTCCATTAGGGGATGGAAACACCTCATTACTATTGCTATATTATTTACCAATATTGGAGAACACCATAATTATTCAGTTTAAGTTGAGTTTATTTAATCGCTAATGAGATCAGCGATTTCGCAGACCGGCCTCTTATTGCTCGGTAGCTTTTCTCTGAAAATGCCTATCTCAGTAGTAGGTGAAACGTCAGAAATTGAAAATTCAGTTGGACCACGGCTAAAAATCCCGGAAAACTATATTTATAGCATTACTTTCCTTCCAGTATCTGTAAGTTTTTTGTTTCATAGTTCCCGTCGAGATATACTATCAAGCGAAAAACCGTAAAGATGTCAATTATGCTAATACAAATTCATTCAGATTCAATGGGATCGGTTTCAAATTTGTTAAATATGTAACGTGGTTTGTCATTCAAAATGCATTCGATCTTTTCGTTTCATTTGAATCAAAACTACATACATAACAAGTACATACGTTTGTACATAAAATAATAAGACTCCAAGAACTAACAATAAAGTATACAAAAAAGTTCAAACGTAATGACGTTGTATGAAAAGTAAAGCACTAACATATGTTTGTATTATATGTAGTTTATTCAAAAAAATCTAAAATACAACTTGAAAAATAAAAATTATCAATCTAGATAATAACTAATCAGCATCTATCGCAAAAGGGTTTGTTAACCAGTCTGACGTAGAATTGACAACTAGGATACTATTTGATTCATTTATTTTTCCATCGAGTTGCTGCTCTTCATGTGAAATTACTTCTACTTTATCAGTATCTACCCACTCATTATGTGTATCGAATTTTGAATCCTCAAATACACACATGATCTATTTTTCCTTTTTTTAAGATTGATTTGGAATCAATTATCCTTTTTTTGGCTCTTTCACTTTATGACCCAATAATTTCATGTGTGAAGTTGCTCCTTGTTTTCATCTATTTGATCCCTAACTGATGGACAGTAATAATCATACGGCATTTCTTTATATGGTTGGTAATCGATTGAAAAGTTCAGCGATAACCTTTGGAACAGCGGTAGATATATATGCTCTTCTTCATTTTTACTTAGTGTCTGCGCTTGCAAAAAACCATTCTTGTATGTCACAGAACATGGAGGAGGAAAAAACCGTTACCAAGTACATCTCGTAAATTCTCAAAGGTTTACAACAAGTTCCTTCGGTACATTTGACTACCTATATTTTCGTAGAATGCGTATCTGCAGACCCTTTACGTCGCACCGATTTTGGCGTCAGACTCTATGGGTATATGGCGTTCATGTGATGCCGACTCTTGGTTTTGTTTCGAGTGAGATCGAATACTGATAGTAACTTACTAGTTTCTGTATATATCTATATTGTATTGTCTATACTAGAAAGCATCTAGTTTTATTCGGAGCTTCATGCACTGTTCTTTGAATTCGAGATGTTATACGAAACAATTTTAAATCGCAGAAAGTCAGCACGCAAAATAGCATATCAACATAGTCGATAACCTTACGTAAATATGATGAATATCCCCCTTCCCTCATGTCAGGTTTCATAAGGGATTGTCCACCTCACCTCCCACCCTCAATAGGCCTTACGTAATTTGTGAACGTTCCCCTATGCATTATACGAGATTTTGACATTTGCTTGAACTGATTTTCTGTCAAACTCTACAAATAATCATCATCTAATCTATGATTTCACTGCGCAAGCGTATCTATTACACCATTCATTTCACAATTATATGTAGAAATTAACCGACATTATCAAATAATTTATAATTTAGCACAACGAATGAAAAAGATCTTGGTGGCTTTCTAGTAACACGGCCTATTTGTTGTACTGAATAATTAAATTTTTATTTGTAGGGGTCCGTGAAAATTGTGACGATTATTGGAGAGTAATTTTACCGGCGCGGCGCGGCGGTAGAGTAGGTACAACGTGCCAAAATTGAGGCGGTTTTGTCAAATATGCTACGAGAGTAACATGACGTTACTGACCTTTCCTTTCCCCGAACAATCAATGTCTATTTCTGTTGCCGCTTCGGTAACTGTATTCCTGGTTCCCATGCTTTCGCTTCTGTTACTAGAACCTTATAGTACCTATAACTTCCATAGGTACGTTGTATGTTTTGCTGAATTGTGTGTAGCAAGAAGGTATATTCTAATATATTAATGTCAAAATGATTCGAAATAATATTCAAGAATCATAAGTCACAATTAGACAAGAAATTCATAGGAAACAAAAGATTTCTAGATCAATTTTCTGCAGTTGTTGCATATCTAGAACATGAATGATTGTTTTAAAATTATCTTCTAGCTGTCGGACAGGATGACAGAAGAATTAATATGGCGCTGTAACCTAGGCGCCACATTTTTGGCAAAGTGTCATGTCTACTAGGCAAACATCTTCCTAAATCATCATCTACCAGCGGAAGCATATGAGCGAAGTCCAGTTTAATATTTCCTCAATTATATTTCTTTTTAGGTACCTAACTAGCATATATGCGAGAAAATAGTTTAGAGAGAGGTGTCCGATGCGGTCTGCGTATATCGCGGCTCCTCGCATCAGCCGATCCGAGGAAATGAGAGTTTAGTTATCAAAAGTGAAATCGTGAATCATGCATACCGCCGGCAGAGTCGCCGCTTGAAATTGGACACTTCCGGACGACGGGCTGTGAGATTCTCAATTTAGGTCGTCGACGGGAATTTGACCATGCCCTTTTATTATTTTTTTCAAGAAATATTGAAATTTTAACTATTTCGTTTTTACCAGAAAGTCGGAAAATTCGTTACACCAGACATCAAAACCACGCGTTGAATTTGAGTCTATTTTTCATATTTATTCGTTGAAATTCAGATTATGAAACACCTACTATCAATACAAATATTTAATTTAGGTACATAATAATAATACATTTATTCCCAACAGATATACATCCAATTACAGAGTAAAAATTACAAAAAAATTACATTTCACAAAAAATTACAAATTGTACACAAATAATAATAAATAAGAAAAATTGAACGAGAAAAAAAAGAGAGTATAAGCGAAAATATAAAGCGAAAAAATTAATTAGAAATAAATTGAATAAAAACTTCTTGGTCCATGAGGGGATCGAACCCGCGACCTTGGCGTTATTAGCACCAGGCTCTAACCAACTGAGCTAATGGGGCCGAGAACATGTTTCCCAACTAGTTTATAGACATGACATCCAAGAAAAATAATAACATCTGGCAACAATGTAGTTTTGAGGCATATAAATTCATGATTTAAGATATCGTGTGAATTTTCAAGCCATAGTTTGAGACGCTCTAAATGTCACTAAATTAATTGAATTTTTGAATTGTAAGATCAAATAGATCACGAAGGTAAAATAATGTATTTGGTACTCGAAATTAAGATCTTTGTACTTTTGAAAAATCCTACCAAATTATATATTTGGCAAATTACGAAAGACCTCCGCTTTTCATGCCGAAAACTCATCCTTTTTAAAGTAATTTTTCGTTGTTTTGAATCGCGGGAAGACGTGCACTTACCCTAATAAAGGATCAAATTTCGATATAATGCTATTTTGGTCACCCCTCAGAAGGAACTGGTTTAAAATACGTCATTTTGCCTTCAAGGCTAATCGTATTTTACTGATTTTCCTTAAGTACTCTCGAAAGTGGAGCAGTTTCCGATTATTTGGATTTCAAAGAATCTGAAAATTTTGTTGTTTTCTTGAAATTATTATTATTTTTTGAAATTCACATCCGCAGAGTTATGCTTCTAAATTCTGTTGTTTTTTCCCTATAGCTTGCGAAATTAGTATTATTGAGTAAATAATCGTGTTCAAATTCAAGAACTTTCAATATTATTGTCGACAAAAATCTGGTCCTCAAAGATTTCAGCAATAATAAGAAACAATGGGGATATTATTTAATTTAAAGTAGATCATCACAAGTTATTTTCTGCAAACCGTATAATTCAAATACATTATTTATTTATTTCAGTCTGTTTGAAATGAATTTCCGTAAAATAAAAATAGTTTTATCTTTAATTATTTTCTACATTTTTTCAAGTAATAAAGTATGCTAGAATATTATAGTGGTACAGTTTACATGAGTTGGTCTGTCAGTATTACTGACTGATTGAGTTGCTGAAATTAAATGTAGGGGTTTGGGCTTTAAACCTCCGGAAAATTTTTATCAGATTGATTGCGAGTTGATGTTTACTGGTTTACATTCACATTCGAGCATTTATTTGGTCCGTTAAATTGATGCTCTTTGGTTTCGCTCTGTTTCATCCAAGAGCTTTTCGGTATATGCTTAGTTATTGAATTCATAAGAGTTAAATTGATAAAAATTATTAGAAATTTTTTGTACAAAGATAATGGGTAAAATCTCCCAATTTCTAAAAATAGAAAGCTTCCGTATGAACATTTGCTTCGCTATGGAGACGACTTTTATTTTCACGGAATCAGAAAGCGAAGAATTTAAGTAAATATAGTTTAACTTGTACAACCGTGGAGATAAAACGAAAAAATATCTCCTTGATTATTTCATTTTATAATTTCTCCCGTGATAAAACACATTTTTTTATTTCACTTCATCTCCAAGATTGTTCAACTTGGTTACGTTGCATTGATCATTGAACTAACAGCCTCGAAACTCGTCTAGAGCGCTACACCTCTTTGTTTATTTAAATTCTTGGTTCGAGTTCCATAAAGGTTGGAAGTTTCCTCCATGGTGAAGCAAAGATCAAACTTCTGATTCCAAGAGGTTCTTGTGGAATCCTCATTGTAGCATCATATACAAACACATATATAAATCTATATATATATATATATATATATATATATATATATATATATATATATATATATATATATATATATATATATATATATATATATATATATATATATATATATATATATATTATTTTTATCTTTACGATTGTTCCTCATGAGGACAGCAATTGAACTTGAATTCGCAATTCTTGAGACTTTTGCTTCATCCTTTTTGCCTCCCAAAAACGCTTCATCCTCTCTGAATGCTCTTTCTCCTGTTCATCTGTCCATTTTATGCCAGGTTAGCGATTTTATTTTTGCTCAAACTTCACACTTGCGATTTTATAACGACGCTCAGTGCGATCTTCGAGATTTTTTATATTGATCTGTAAATCTTTTTTCTTTTAGCCACTCTGTTCTGCATTTACTCTTTATAATTATATGAAGTACTTTCTTTGGTGTTCTGGACTGTTGCATGCTATAGACATGTGCATAGAACTTTGCTCGTCATTTTCTGATTTATTTCGTTATCGTATTTGTCTTTTGATAAAGTTCATTCTGAGGTCTTTTCATCCGTTTTCCTTTTCAATTGGTCCGTAAATCTTTCTGAGAATCTTCCGTTCTTGTTTTTCTGTTTCTCTAATTCTTGAATGCCCGCCAATAACCATTGTTTCAGCTGCGTAGATTGCTTCTGGAAGAATCGTGTTATAGTGCCTCAATTTGGCGCCTCTCGAAATGCACTCTTTGTTATAGTGAGCCCATGTTAGTTTGTAGGCCCTTTGGAGCTTGGTAAGTCTCTGTTTATTAGCCATTTAGTTTGATCCTGAGGACTATATAACTTCCTCGAGGTATTTAAAATAGCCTACTTGCATAATTTCATCTTGTTTTGTGATAAGAGAAGATTTATTTTTTGGTTTTCTTTCCATGTATTTGGTTTTATCATAAGAAATTTGTAACCCGGTTTTCTGCGCAATTTCATGTAGTTTTTCTACGGCGAGAATAGCTTCAGTTCTGTTGTCTGTAATGATTGCAATATCGTCTGCAAAGGCGAGACATTTGACATTTATTCTATTTTCTTTTTTGATACTCACTTGTATGCCCTTCACGTGAAGTTCCCATTCCCTAATGATCTTCTCTAAAACAATATTGAAAAGAATTGGCGAAAGTCCATCCCCCTGCTGCACACCGGTTTTGATTTCAAAGGGATCTGATATTTCGCCCATAAATTTTACCTTGGACGTTGTACCTGCAAGTGTCTGTTCTATAATTTTTCGGTTCTTTCGATCGATTCCAAATTCTTTCATGATTTCAAAAAGGGTTTCGCGGTCCACCGATGATGTCTGTGATATATATGTATATATATATATATATATATATATATATATATATATATATATATATATATATATATATATATATATATATATATGTGTGTGTGTGGGTGTGTGCCCTGTCTTATAATATGTATATTGCAAACTTGCTTGATTGTTAGAAGATATCGTTACAGAAATTCTACAAACTACAAATACAAATTACTTGTTTCCAAGCTCATTGTCTGAAGTATAAAAGCTTCGAAAACCGGAAATATAGTAGTAGTTGGATGTACTATTCATATGGACTGCCGGAATGAGCGCTACCTCTCATCTCTCTTCTTTTACGCGTTTCTGTTCCTCCCGCTAGTGTTCAGCATGCATTCACAGATTTATTTGCTCAATGACATTCCTGGGCGTATTGGCTTTCTCTCGAATAGTAGTATAGCCATTCATGAAACTTATGAGCTAGCCACGTTAACTTGTTCCGACTCGTTATAGGATTATTATTGATAATCGCACGTGTTTACACCTATCATTTAGTGCAGATGTCGTGAATTATGTCCCAGTACAAATTAAAACTATTTCAACTCAAAATTGTGAAAACAGAAACTGATATTTATACATCTGCAATAAGACATGAAGATAATCTTGCTGGAGGTGTGGATTGATAATAAACATCACGTAATTAAAAACAGTTATCTTCGGATCGTTAGGCATGCAGACTCTCTCTCTCTCTCTCTCTCTCTCGTAACGTAGGACAGAACCTTTACGGTGCTATTTTCTTCAGCTCTTACATCTACTCACGTAGATCCTTTTGTCTCTTTCTATTATATGACAAGTGCTTCACGAAATTTTTCGGATAATAAAGTATTTAGGTTTTATTTCGAATTACTTTTGAAGGTGGCAATATGAATAATTTGATTCTGAAGGTATTCTATGACAACACACGTTTCTTTTTCTCTGCCTTCAATTGAAAGAACCAAGTTTAAATTTTTGCGATAGTTCAGAATGATCTCTCTTGTTTCACCCTGCCAAAGTCTTCAGTCGTCTACTTATGTTAAGGATTCAACGAATATACTACATAATCGCAATGATCTTCTGCAGAATGCAATAATCTTCTTGCATAAAATAATTGACAGTAAAGTGAAATGTCAGGAATTATTGCAAAAGCTAACTTTGTTGTTCCAAGAGTTTCGTCCAGAAGCGAATTGACGTTCTACTCTCCAGCAGCTAGAACGAATGTTCAAAAATTTCCTCCATTGCACAATGTAATATTTTGCGAGCTAAGGTGGATATTTCCAACTGTTCTGTTACTGATATTAAGGCAAGTTTCCTTGATATACATAATCTCTGCTAGAACAATCATTTATGTGTATTGGCGTATAGGATTCGTATTCAGGCATATACTCGTTCTTGTACAAGTATGTGTGTATATGTGTTAATATGTGGACGTAAATGTAGAACTGTGTTTATCTTATATGTATGCATAAGTTTGGTCACCATTTAAGTTTTTCTTTCTATTCCTATAACTAATTATATTTCTTTTTATCAGTTGTGATTCATGATCACAAAATCTTTCTTTTAAAAACTTTGAAATTTGAAAGTACAAAATTGAAACCTCTGAACTTTGTACTACCAATTTTGTTTTTAGTATATGTTGTCCTTCCTATTTTATAATTAGGACATGTGCTGTAAAACACTGTATGTTAAATAAAGCGAATAATTCAAAATAATCATTAGTTCTTCCTAATTTATTCATAAAATGAGTATGAATACTGTTACCGTATAATTTGGCCCATCTTGTCTACGTAAAAACTCCAGCGATATAGATTCTATATTCACATTTATTATTCAGTAATTAACAGTTCAGTAGAGTTCATGCTAGTGAACAATTTGTTAATGCTACGGAACTACCCGTTGTAAATTATTGAGAGAAATTGCTGTTAAATTTTATATGAACTAAGAAATTTCTTCTTTAATAATTACATGGATTTGAAGGGCTCCTTATTCTCAGGTAGTATCGTTTCTTCATTATTAATGCTATCATTAAGCAATATAAGAACTTGATTCTATAGTTGTAGTTATTGAGT